AGGATAAACTAAATCATATTTGCAAGTTCATTCGGTACCGCGTAAAAAAAGAAATTGCAAGGTCAGTAGGTGAATCCATCTTTTATGAAAGGTTTCTAGCTTTAATATTCTCAACAAAATGTCACAATTTGGTTGATGCAATAAAAAGGTGTCAGATTAGGATAAACTAAATCATATTTGCAAGTTCATTCGGTGCCGCGTAAAAAAGGATTTGCAAGGTCAATACTTCTTTAATAATAATAGGGGAATCCATCTCTTGCTCTCCTATTCACATCCAAATGTCAAAGTTTGGTCAATACAATAAAAACGATGTGGTTAAAAATTGAACTCGGATCACCTAAACTGTATTTGCAAGTTGTGGATAAGCGATATAAACCCTACAAGCTCGGTTGAATAACATCAATCACGGATTGTCAATAAACAGACTTCAAGTAGAAGAATAATGAAGAAAAGTCGATACACGGAGAGCATGTTATAGATGGGTCTCTAATTTCATGTTTCACAGTAAATGTCAGTTATGTTGAAATCATTGTGAATTATTGGGAAGTACGGCTAAAAAGTTCTGGGTCTGTAACTTCATGTTTCACAGTCCAGAATTCCCTGTTATCACGCACAGGTGCATGTAGAAGATCCCTTGGCAGTTGGAATTTGATTTAAAAGTAGGCTATGGGCAAAATTTCCTTCATAGCACACTGTATGGCATTTGCCCTTCTCATTAGCCGGGATGAAGCAGAGAAGTAGGACCTAAAAACCCATTTCATTTCATTTCTTTGGATGAAGCAGAAAAGTAGAATGTTAAATAGCCAGGATGGAGCAGAAAAGTAGGACGTTAAACTCCAATTTTATTTTATTTCTTTGTAAGGAGCTGAAAAGTAGGAGGTTAAACCCCCATTTCATTTCATTTCTTTGCCCAAAACCATTCATTAACACCAGTTCTCTTTACAGTGTGTATTGATTTTAAAATAATCATTGTATCTTAAATAGTTGATATTCAGATCCCATATTTTAATGGTTAGGTAACAACATCAAAATATAATCCTTATAAGACATATAGAGAGAGAGAGAGAGAGAGAGAGAGAAGAGAGAGAGAGAGAGAGAGAGAACTAGGTCATTTCGGGACTAACATACGGTTTATTTTTCTATTTCAATAATTTGCTTTCAATAAGGAGTAGGGTTGCCTGTCCAACCTCGTGGGTTTTCTACAAGTCCTCGGGTTTCTTCCCACTGCTAAAGACACCTACGTGCAAGTGAATTATTGACATAAAATTGAACCATATGTTAGTCCAAAAATGACCCAGTTTGTGTCGCGTGGACGTTAAACTCCATTTCCCTCTCTCCCTTTAAAGCTATTTAATAACACAAGATCTCTTTAAAGCGTTTTATTACCTAGAAACACACAGGTCCTCTGGGTTCCTCCCACTGCTAAAGACCCCTATGCAAAAGCCAATTATTGAAATAAAACTGAACCATATGTTAGTCCTGAAAAGACCTAGTTTGAGGCGACTGCCTGTTAAACCCCATTTCAAATGAATAAAATATTGTTTAAACTAAACCCCATTTCCCTCCCTCCCTTTAAAACATTTTATTAACACAAGATCTCTTTAAAGCATGTTCATTACCTAGAAACACACACTCTTGTAGTTTTAATTGGTCTTTTCCACGACAGCTAAATATATGCCTAGAACTTTGATTCCATGTAAAAACGTTACATGCATACATCCGTAATAACACTATAAAAATCAATAGAGAACATGGCATCATTTTTCATAGCAGCCGTTAATGACTTCGATTCATCCTTCCCACTACTTCCATGTCAACTTCGACTTCCTGCTGTTTTTTCTCCTGCGACATATCATCGAATATACACACTCCAAATATCAACATTTAAATTTTTTATTAAGTATTGGAATTCATGCATTTATTAAATATTGGAATTCATGTTTTTTTATATATTAGAATTCACTAATTTTTTAAATATTGGAATTCATGAATTATTTTTTTAAATATTGTAATTCATGAATTATTTTTTTAATATTGGAATTCACTCATTTTTTTTTAAATATTGGAATTCACTCATTTTATGAAGGGGGGTTCGATGGCTGAATGGTTAGAGTGCGCGCGCTGTATCATAAAGTCTGTCATTGAGTCGACTGGCGTGGTTTCGTATTCCCGGTTGTATGTGACAAGGAGTAGGGTCGCCTGTCCAACCTTGTGGGTTTTCTCCGAAGTCCTCCAATTTCTTCCCGCTGCTAAAGACCCTTACATGCAAGCGAATTAGAGCGAATTATTGAAATGAAAATGAACCATATGTTATTCCTGAAATGCCCTAGTTCGTGTGGAGTGGACATTAAACTCTCTCTGTCTCTCTCTCTAGTCTCTCTCTCTCTCTCTGTCTCTCTCTATTGTTGTTTGACTAATGTTTATATTTGCAATGTTTTCTAATCAATAATTTTTATCTGTCAATAATAAATAACATATTACATCTTATCAAGATGTATGGAACTGAGTTATAGGATTGACGGACACAAAAAAATTCTTTTAAAAAAACCTATTGAAAGATTGAATCCACATGGATTCCATCACACTCAAACCTCTCTCACACTCTTCAACAGTCATTAAGATCTATGGAAAAATCTATGGCAGTCTTGCGTCACAGGCTTGATTTTTGTCGAACGAGATACTGGGCTGTAAAACCCGGGTGATTTGATAATTAGTCTGTATGTGTGACAGAATGAGTGATAACTGTCCTAGGAGAATTAAAGTTTAACTAGAGATACCACAAGGTATTATCTAAATGAGAAGAAATCTTATAAAGTGTTTTTTTATCTCGATGCATTCAGCCCCCCAAAAAACATTCATTACTTCAAACAATTCATTCCAATCGGAAACCACTAAAAAGAATGAATGATTTGATTTTTTTGGCATAAGTGTGCTAAAATAAATATTACTTCAAACAATTCATTGCAATCGGAAAGCACTAAAAAGAATGAATGATTTGACTTTTTTTTTTTGCATAAGAGAGCTAAAATAAATATTTGGAAAGTTAATGTCACTGTTAATGTTAAGCAACAAGGTATTATTTAAAGGAGCTAAATCGTTAATATTTGGGACCTAGAAATTGATACAAATGGGTCGCAACGCATATAATAATGTAATATGAATGTATATAAACTGATTTACATTCAATTGTTTCCGTTTTTACTCTAATTTCAAATCAGTTATGTTCGGCAAAATATGCCAGAAGTCTCAACCGAATGGCAACCTCTAGCGTCTGGTTACTCCAGTCTACACCGATAGTATTTATTGCGCATGCTCACCAGATAAGAATATGACATCACCATTTGACATTTCTTGTGGAATATGTCTAGTGAATTGTCAGATATCCTCTCACAGTCTCACACAACAACTGTTGGTCTTCAAAGGAATTATTAGTGAGCAGAAATTCGCCCATGTATCTGTTATCACTCGTCACTTCAGTCAGTTATATAGAGGTATCACTTGTGTTTTCCTTTTGCGTTCGTCACTTCCGATTCAGGAAACCTGTATTACTCAGCTATCGTAGCAATGATCTCTGTGTTAAAATTATATTTGGAATGTGTTTAACCAGCTCTAACACATATGTGATTATGACTGGCACCAATATTGTCCTTTAAATCCCATCTCTCCCTCCCTCCCTCTCTCCCTCTCTCTCTCTCTCTCTCTGTTGTTTGTGCTATTTAGTTATATCTAGTGGATGTTAAACCCTATCTCAATCTTCGTTTCTCTTTAGATAATATTTTACATTCAGTCGCATATCATTTAGGACGGTTGAACCTTAAAAACATAACAGGTGCACATAGATCTTTTAATCAAATAGGGAAAATAATGTGTCTGGTTCCCAATGACTGAATAAAAAATAGACAGTGTCAAATGTGATAATTCATAGGAAAACAACACTATATCTAACCTATTCAATTGTTAGCAATTGTTGTTTTATCCTCCATACAATGGACTAGACGAATATTAATATGTGTTACATTATTCCCAAAAGATAAGTAAAGAACACTAGCTGTTGTTGTTAAACACTAGTGTATATAGATTAACGATATAATATTAATAAGAGTTACATTATTCCCAAAAGATAAGTATAGAATACTAGCTGTTGTTAAACAATGGTGTATATAGCAGTAGATTATAGGTACAGTATTATCAGTATCATTTATAAAGCTGAACACATCCCAGTATAATATATTATGTATTCTATTCCCAACAGTTTTATATCTAAAAATGAAATATTTACTCGTAGAATATATTAAATATATGAGTTTGATGATTCAGTGTTTCATTACGGGAGTCATGGTGGTTATGTGGTTAGGTCTCTGGATTGTTCCGAGTTCAATTCTGGGATCTCCTAGTTATAATTAGCAAGCCCACACCTACCCACTGAGCCACAGTTGCTTCAACATATGACTTCGATGATTCATTGTTTCGTTAATGTATGGGAGTTGTGGCGATTACCTGGTTAGGTCTCTGGATTGTTCCAAGTTCAATTCTGGGGTCTCCTAGTTGGCAAGCACACGCCTTCAACTGAGCTACATTTGCTCCCCGAATGTTTCAATAGAATGAATTAAAAAGATGACTTATTAAATTAGGGAGTCATGGAGGTTATGTGGTTAGGTCAAAGGACTGTTCCAAGTTGAAATCTGAGATCTTCTAGTTAGCAAGCCGACGCCTCTACCCACTGAGCCACAGTTGCTCCCAGATAATTCAATAGAATGAATTCAAAAAATAACTTAGATGATTCATTAATGTATGGGAGTCATGGTGGTTATGTTGTTAGGTCTCTGGATTGTTCCAATTTCAAATCTTGGATCTCCCAGTTGGCAAGCACACGCCTTCGACCATTGAGTCACAGTTGCTCCCGAACGATTTCATCAAGGTATGAGAGTCATGGCGGGTATATATATATATCTGTGAATGGATTCCTGAAAACTTTGTGATAAAAATCAAACTTAACTTACCACACCCCACCAAAGAGCGTCTGCAAAACTGGAAAATTTTTTGATTGGTCCACCGTCTTTGCCAATGCCTTGACCTAAAGCATCTTTCTCTACCAGATAAACCAGGAAGGAAGAAAATATCAGCCCCAATACTCCGATATATAATGTAGTAATAAGTTCCTGTTACAATAGAAAATTATTAATTATTAAGAATGAATGAATGTACGAATCAGGCTTAGTGAATGAATGAAACAAGCTTAATGAATGAATAAATAAATAAATGAATGAATGAATGAATGAGTGAATGAAACAGGCTTAACATCCTACTTTTCTGCACCAACTGGGCTATGAGTGAAATATTGCTCAGACAGCCATTGAATTGTAGGGTTCTTTTACATGTGCACTAAATGTTTACACAGGACCTCATTTTTTGTTCCACCCGAAGGACTACAATGTTCCTTGCCAGCCACCTCCCTGGTCGAACAAGTGGAAAACCACGCTGAAAACCTTGGGAGAACATTCTCTGCCAACACTGGAATCAAACCCCTAACCTCCTGGTTTGTGAGCCAGCACCTTACTCACTGAGCCACCGTGGCTCCCTATTAATTAAGAAATAAACCTCAACAGCTTATGAATATCAATGAAGGGTTCACATAGTCGAGGTACAAAATCCATTGTAAATTTCAAGCTCCAAGATATGTTTTGGTATTTTATTTCAAATTTGTCAATACAATCACAATAATATCACATTTAGAAAAACCTTACTAGCCAGTCAATCTCGTGTCAAAAATTTCATACAGTCAGAAAATCGACATAAAAAAAATCCATTGTAAATTACTTTCAAGATAAAAGATGCATTTTGATTTTTTATTCCAATCAACAAATGAGTCATCAGAGAAAGAGAGAGAGAGAGAGAGAGAGGGAGAGAGAGTTGGGATTTAACAGTCCACTCGATACAAACTAGGTCATTTCGGGCCTAACATATGGTTTAATTTTTTATTTCAATAATTCGCTTGCACGTAGGGGTCTTTAGCAGTGGGAGGAAACCGGAGGACCAGGAGAAAACCCATGAGGTTGGACAGGCGACCCTACTCCTTGTCACGTACAACCGAGGATTCGAAACCACACCAGTTGACTCAATGGCAGGCCTTGATACAGTGCACTGCTAACCATTCGGCCATCCAACCCGCAATATAAAAATAAAGAAATCTAACTTGTTCCAGTTACTCTTTAAGATTTCCGCATGTTAATACAAGGCCTGACAAAAAGTTACTTCTGTCCAATTCTTAAAGATAAATTATGGGAGATTAGATAAAGAGCTTGCAGTTCTCACTATAATAGTTCAAAAACAGATAATGTAAAGCGAATTTGCTGAAAATTTCAAATTGATCCACTCTGAACCAAGATTTTAGCGATTGAATTTTCGGTCTAGCCTCGATCATCATTACTAACGTTGGTACGATAAAAATCATAGTCTCGATTATCCATTTCATGATTAAATTATGAATGAAAGTCGAACAGGAAATCAAAACCTAATCCAATAAACATCGCAGGCCAGCGATGACATTGATAGTTGATTATGGTTTGGAAAAGTTAATTAATGTCTTATTAATGATTTAGATAAAATTTCAGCCTAAAGCAAGACCTGCAATAGGCAGATTTAGCTCTTGCATAATGTAATGTTTAATTCTGTCCAATTTTTAATAAAACTTGTACTGGCAATACAATGTAGCCATTTCTAGAATCCTATCTAAAAAATTTGTTGATAATAGAAGTGACATCATCTTGACATCATATGTGCCCCGCTCCCACGAAACCAGGCGCTTGTCGCACAACTTCATTTTGTACTACGGGCACAAAAGTATAAACCGTATGCCTTCTTGTTGCTGTGAATGAGCCAAACTCAACTCCAGATGATACGACAAATTTAAGAGGCATTGCAGTTTTAGAAAGCTTAGGCTGTGGACTATTCAAATATGCTGCCAGCTCTATTTTTATAAAAATGACCAAGAGCCTGGTTTTGTAGGAGCTCACATATTATCTTTTCCTTTTGATTTTTGATTTGAGAGTGTAAACATCTGGATCTCACAGACGGCTTTAATGGACTTCTTTTGAAAATAAAATTAACAACATCTAAAATGTATGAAGTGGTTATCTTAAATAACTTCAACATTGAAAGTTGAGTCTTTGCCTCCTTAACTCACTTCCTGATCTTTATTAAGTTACTCCTTCTAAGTAATGAATATACAAATTGAGCCAATATTTAAATGTTAAGGGGCACCTGCGAAACCCTTTATAACTGCATCGCAGGTGCAGTTATTCCATTGTTGCACTTAGTGATGCAGTGCCCTGGTATGCCAAGAGATTTAATTAGGTGCAGAGAAAGATTATTTTTTCGAAATGTTAAAAGTCCCTATGTATTTAGTGACGGAGCCTAAGCGAGTGAGTAAGACGCTGGCTCGCTAGCCTGGAGGTCGCGGGTTCGATCCCGATGTTGGTCGAGAATGTTCCTTAGGATTTTTCTGTGTGGTTTCCCCTTGACAGCGGTGCAGGATTGCGGGCCAGCTGTCTAGTCGTTTGGTTGGAACAAAACACCAAGGTCCTGTGTACACATAAAAGATCCTTTGACAGTTGGAATTCGATATAAGAGTAGGCCATAGTGAAGCTGTCCAGGCCTGGTCTTTGCCCATCTCCATTAGCCCTTCACCACTGACAAGAGCAAACCAGGCTTGAAAACCCTGAGAAACTTTCTTGGCCAACAAAGGGATAAAACCAGGACTTGGCTAGTTGATGAGAGAAAGAGAGAGAAATGAAATGAAATGAAATAAGAGTTTAATGTCCTACTGTTCGGCACCGACTAGGCTAATGAGACAGTAGAGAGAGAGGGAGAAATGATCGACACAAACTAGATCATTTAGGGGCTAACATATGGTTCAATTTATTTTCAATAATTTGCTTGCGTGTAGTGGTCTTTAGCAGTAGGAGGAAACTGGAGGACCTGGAGAAAACCCATGAAGTTGGACAGGCAGGAAATCAAAACCACACCACTTGACTCAATGACAGACCTTGTAATTTCACACACATGTGTTAACCACTATACCCCCCACCCCCACTCCTAGTTAATGACTTACTCACTAACCAACAAATGAAATGAAATGGGGTTTAATGTCCTACTATTCTGTCCCGAACTGGGCTAATGAAGACGGGCATACGCCATACAGTGTGCTATGAGGGAAATTTTGCCCGGACAGCGGCACTACGGACTATTCTTATATCGACTTGCAACTGTCAAGGTATCTTTTACGTGCACGCCAATGTGTACACGGGACCTCATTTTTTTATCCCATCGAAACAACTAGACTGCTGTCTTTGTCCAGCCCTCTCGGCCAATGCAGGAATCGAAAACCCGACCTCCAAGCTAGCGAGCCAGTGTCTTACCCACTTAGCCAGTGTGACCCCCCACTAACCAACACGTTCAGTATACAATTGTATTGTAAAACATTTGATTTAAGCCAAAGCATGCTTTTCAGAATTGAACCCAGTTGTTAAGGTGCACCAGCAGTTGGATCAAATATTTTTGGAATTGGACCACGTTCTTATGCTGCACCAGTAGTTGAATCAAATCATTTTGGAATTGGACCCAGTTCTTAAGGTGAATCAGTAGTTGGATCAAACCAAATTTTCAAAAATCACAATTCTTACCTGTCTATGAGCCCAGACAACAGAGCCGAGAAGTTTCCACGTTCCTCCTCTTCTATCCATCCTCACCATACGTAAAATTTGGAAGAAACGTAATCCACGCAGGGAGGATGTAGCAAACATGTCCTGAGTACCACCAATAATTAACGTGGTTATACTTGCTAACACCAATATAAAATCTACAAGTAAATATTACACAGAACGAAATAAAAATGAAAACGAAACGAAATGGTAAGGGAACTTTTACCAGGACAGTGGCACTACAGCCTACTCTTATTCCAACTGCCAAGGGTTCTTTTACATGCAAGCCAAGGTGTACACAGACCCTAGTTTGTTTTTTTGTCCATCTGAACAACTGACAATAGGGAAAAACACCAGAAACCTGTGATGAACTTTACTGGCTACAGGGAACAAACATGCGACCTTCAGGTTAGCGAGCCCTGTGCATTCCGTAGAAGCAGATATCAAACTTTATAAACAACAACATGATAGGGAGCCATGGTGGCTCAGTGTGTAAGATGCTTGCTTGCTAGCCTGGAGGTCGCAGGTTCGATTCCGGTGTTGGCTGAGAAAGTTCATCTGGATTTTCCGGCGTGGTTTACTCTTATCAGTGGTACACATTCATGTGCACCTAAAAGATCCATTGGCAGTTGGAATTCGATATAAGTGTAAGCAGTTAACGCCGCTGTCCAGGCAAAATTTCCCTCATAGCACACTTAATGCCCATCTTCATTAGCCCAGTCAGAGCAGAGAAGTACAAAGTTAAACCCTATTGCATTTCCTATGAACAAAAAACAACATGGTAGTCGTGGACCCTAATATCTGTGTTATAGTAAAGACCTATGTATGAATGTAACTTCTCAAAACTAATCAAATTTGAATGTTCAAAAAATATTCATTCTAATTGGATATCAAAATATATTGAAGCCATAAAAATAAATTGATAGACCTTGTTATCAGCTAATTTTCTACATGATCGACCATTATTTCATATAATTACATGAATGGTGTAAATATGATTGATAATTTGATAAGTAACGATAACTATACTTTAAATCTGATCATTGGCATTTCACAAGATGGGTTAGGAAACATTATATATGTAGATATGGAGAGAATATGTTACTTTAGTAACGTAAATTGTATCTGCTCTGCTCTCTACTACGTTACTGTCAGCTCCTAATGACAACTAGTATGAAAATAAGACTTTTCCCCTATTTCGGTTCTAAGGCAATTTTGGAATCCTTACCGTCTATTTTTCACCGTGATTCTTCTTTGGTCGCTAAAAGGAATCATTTCTTGTCACATCCAACACAAATTTATAAAAATCCAACACTATTTTCATGTAGAATTACGCGATACAAAAACATAAACAGAGCCGATACAATTTACGTTACTAAAGTAACTAGGGGAGAATATGAAGAAATGAAATTAAACTGATAACTATCCTTTAAAGCTATAATCATTGGCATTTCACAAGATAGGTATAAAAACATTATATATCTACATATGGAGAAATGAAATGAAATGAAATAGAGTATAATGTCCTACTGTTCTGCTCAGTGTGGGCTAACTATCCTTTAAACATAACCATTGGTATTTCACAAGATGGGTATGGAAACATAATATATGTAGATATGGAGAAATGAAATGAATTGAAATAGAGTTTAATGTCCTACTGTTCTGCTCCGGGCTACTGATGTAGGGCATATGCCATACAGTGTGCTATGAGGGAAATTGTGAACGTCCTGCTGTGCTATGGCCTATTCTTATATCAAATTCCAACTGCCAATAGATCTTTAACGTCCACGCACACAGGAAGTCAGTTTTCCATCCCATCCAAAGGATCAATATAAAGAAAACAGAGAGAACAACAAAAGCCTGAATCTGTGCCTGACATTGTCTGTGACAGTTGCCTTATTTCCAGGCTATATAACATGAAGAAGAACTGATCCACTTACCTATAATACATAATGGTCTTTTAAAGAATCTCATTCTACCCCGAAGTCCCTGATATCTCGACCGACAACCTGCTGCCCACAAACGTAAAATAAACTCTGATGCTATCCACAACAACATAATAATCTCCTGAAAATAAAATAGAGTCATTGCAAATGAAATGAAATGGGGTTTAACATCCTACTGTTCTTCTCCGACTGGGCTAATGAAGCCAGGCATACACCATACAGTATGCTATGAGGGAATTTTGCCCAGGCAGCAGCACTATGGCCTACTCTTATATCGAATTTCAACTGTCAAGGTATCTTTTACTTGCACGCCAGTGTGTACACGGGACATCAGTTTTTCATCCCATCCAAACGACTAGACAGCAGTCATTGTCAGGCCCACCGTCCGGCATCACTGACAAGGGGGAACCACGCCCGAAAATCTGGATCAACTTTCTCGGCCAATGCAGGGATTGAACACGCGACCTCAAGGCTAGTGAACCAGCGTCCTACCCACTTAGCCACCGTGACCTCCGAGAGTCATTTCAAAATCATGGACAATACAACATGGTCTCTTGGAGGAAACGAGTCAACAGTGAGACTGATATCTCCTGCCTTAATCCCAATCCAAAAATAAATAGATGACACTTATTTGAATATTTATCTTTAGCACATAAAAACTATTAATTTTACTGTATTGTTTGGTTTGGGGTTAAATGCATTGAAATTCTAATTTTGTAAATTGATTGCGGATAGGTTCTCCAACAGGATTCATACTTGAGGTATTACAAACTAATGGACATTACATGGTCTCTTGGAGGAAACGAGTCAACAGTGAGACTGATGTCTCCTGCCTTAATCTCAATCCAAAAATAAATAGATGACACTTAACAATCATTAGCACATGTATGACATGAAAATGAAATGAAATGGGGTTTAACGTCACACTGTTCTGCTCCGACTAGGTTAATGAAGACGGGCCTAAGCCATACAGTGTGCTATGATGGATCTTTTACGTGCACGACAATGTGTACACGGGACCTCAGTTTTTCACCCCACTCAAAGACTATACATTGTCCCATGCCAGGCCCTCTGTCCTGCACCACTGTCATGAACTTTGTCGATCAATGCAGGGATCCAACACGGGGCCTCTAGGTTAGTAAGCCAATGCACATTTATGAGAAAACAAGGTTAGACAAGTGACCTCACTCCTTGTCACATTCAAGCTTGGAATCAAAATTTGACAGACCTTATGATCTAAAGTGCATGCGTTAAACCACTTAGCCACCCAACACTACTCTTTGTCACATTGAAGCTTGGGATCAAAACCACACAACTTGACAGACCTTATGATCTAAAGTACATATGTAAGAACACTTGGCCACCCACCCGATGACAAACGGTAGCTAATATAATAGTTTAATAGTTTAATAATAATAGTCTATTTCAGTAATTAGGTCGAATGACCCATAGATACAGTGTGTAATACTTATATATTTACAAAAATAAATAATTGTCATTTACACAATTTGAAATCTAATCATGGTAAATCCATTGGTAAATTCAACTATCAAAGAATATTCACAATACTACAATATAATTTGGATTTAAATTATATTATCGCTTTATTTGCTATTCTAAATATAAATGATTTTAATTTAATTTATTTAAATCATTACAAATTTTACAAATGTTCCTCTCTCAGTGGAAGTGCCTTATCCAGAAAACATGATATGACTACCTACCATAATACTTTTGTCGGGGTTTGAACATAACTGATTGAACTTATATACATTTTAAACATGATTCCGATATAGTTTAGGTAAATATTGTATTCTTAATTCACTAAAATGTTTACATTCTAAGACGAAGTGATATATGTCTTCTACCACGCAATCACAATAAATATTATTTATTTTTGTAAATATATAAGTATTATATATACTATGTATCTATGGGTCATTCGACCTAATTACTGAAATAAACTGTTAATTTTATTATTATTATAATTATTATAGATGTTGTGCATTTTCAGATTGCTTGGAAAGATCAGGGGCCTGTGTCACGAAATTTTAACTAAATTTTAGTAATTCGATTGGATAATATAAGATTGATTTTAGTATCTACTAAACTTTGGATTTTATCTTTAGTTAAGATTTCGAGAAACATGGCCCTGGTTGGTAGAGGAGATTGTTTCCATTAGGAAAATTCATCTATCATAAATAATTTAATCAGGATTTTCCGGTGTGGTTTCCCCTTGTCAGTGGTGCAGTACAGAGAGCCTGGCAAGGGACAATAGTCATTTGGCTGGCATGCACATACAAGATCCCTCGGCAATTGGAATTCGATATAAGAGTAGGCCATAGAGCTGCTTTCCGGGCAAAATTTCCTTCATAACACAAGGTATGGCATATGCCCATCTTCATTAGCCCAGTCGGAGCAGAAAAGTAGGACATTAAACCCCATTTCATTTCAATAATTAATTTGGGGTTAGATCTAGAGATACCTGCTTTTAACTCTTGTGGCGTCCAGCTTGCGACATAAAGAAATTCTGACAACTGACCTTCTTTGAAAATAGTCTTCCTAATAAGGTGTAATGGTGGATTTTATTGATCTCAAACATGAAAGAATATCAACCAAAGAATTGTGTCTGTACTGCACTTTACCATTAAACTCAAACAAACAGAGAGAGAGAGAGAGAGAGAGAGAGAGAGAGAGATGGGGTTTAAACTCCACACAAACTAGGTCATTTCGGGACTAACATATGGGGATTCAACCTTCACTCAACATAAACTAGGTTATTTCAGGACTAACATATGTCTCAATTTTATTTCAATAATTGGAGGTCTTTAGCAGTGGGAGGAAACCAGAGGACCTGGAAAAAAACCACGAGGCTGAACAGGCGACCTCACGCCTTATCACGTACAACCGGGGAATCGAAATCACACCAGTTGACTCAATGACAGGCCTTATGACACAGCGTGCGCGTGAGAAAGAGAGAGAGAGAGAGAGAGAGAGAGAGAGAGATTTAACCTTCACTCAACATAAACTAGGTTATTTCAGGACTAACATATGGTTCAATTTTATTTCAATAATTGGAGGTCTTTAGCAGTGGGAGACACCGGAGGACCTGGAAAAAACCCAGGAGGTTGGACAGGCGACCCCACTCCTTATCACGTACAACCGGGGAATTGAAACCTCGCCAGTTGACTCAATGACCAAGCATAAAAGAATATCATGTAAAGAACTGTATTGCACTTTATCACAAATGTCACGCATATGTCAAATGTCTCATTAAACACTCATCCAGGCTCATCAGTATTATGGCATTGTGAACTGGGCTTAATAATGATTATTCATGGATTTGAGTCATATCAAGACAGTTGCCTAATTCATCATAGTAGAAGCTTTCAACCTATCTCATTTGTTACATATGATAAAAGAGATGAAATACTGCTTCAAAGTTAGGCTAAAACATTTCCCTTTCAAGGACAAGTTAGCCCATTGAGGGTGGGCTAAAACACTACCCCAGTCATTGTAGACTCAAGTAATACTCCCATGAGGGTAGCTAAAAAAAACAATCCCTCCCTCTGAGGGGATACTCAAGCAATACTATTTCAAGGCTTGGCTAAAGCAATACTATTTCGAGGGTAGACTCAAACAATACTGCTTTAAGGATAGACTATACCCTCAAGAGGGTAGTCTAAAATAACACCTCTGCAAGGATAGGCAAAAGCAATAGGCTACTCCTGATTGGGTACACTAAAATAATACTCTTTGATTGTAGGCTAAAATTATACCATTTGATTGTAGGCTAAAATAGTAATGGTAGTTTAAAACAGTAACCCTCCAATAATACATCGCTGATGGTAGGCTAAAAAAAATGGCCCTTCGATTGTGATTAGTTAAAATAATACTCTTATGATTGAGGTAAGGCAAAATTAATATCCGTTCAAGGGTAGATTAAAATAATACCCACCTAATGGCATGCTAAAATAATACACCTTGAATGGCAAGCTAAAACAATAGTCTTTAGAGGGTAGGCTAAAATAATAACCCCTTAAGGGTAGGCTAAAAATAATACCCCTCTAATACCCCTTTTTAAGGTAGGTTAAAATAATACCCCTCTAATAATACTGGTAGGCCAAAACAATACCCCTTTTTAAGGTTGGTCCAAAATAATATCTCTTTAATAGTAGGCTTTTCATGGGTAGGCTAAAAAAAAAACTTTAATGGTAGGTTAAAAGAATACTTACAGTATACATCACATAACAGCTAAGTAATTTTTCAAATTCATGAATGGAAGCCAAAACACTTAAAACAAGGCACACAATCACCATGGCAAACCTGAAAAAATAAAAACATAAATACTTAAAGCAAGGCACAAAACCTTCTTGGCCAACCTAAAAAAATAAAACATAAATATTGCAATACAAGAAAAGGAAGTGGAAAGAAAGAATGTGCAAAATAATTGCTACTAGTAACATTTTACAACATGACTAGAAAATTCCAGACACTTAAATGAATATTATGATAGTATTTGTGTTGATGACTTTATTGTTCCAATACCCAGTAATCGGATACTTTTATTGCTACCACTTCCTCCCATGATCCTCTATTCTTGGTGCCAATCATTTGGACATTCCTCCTGCCTAGCGGTCGACATATTTTGCTAAAGCCAACCATTATTTCCCATAATGTTTTGCTATTTTCCATTAATTTTGGAATTTCACTTATATCATCTAATTGTGTTGTTTAATAAATGACCGTCATTTTATCAAATGACATTTTCACAAACAGCAGTGTTTTTGTTGCTTTTCTGATCTGGAAAAAGACACAAAAAACATTTGTTTCAGTCATATTTGGTGGTTTATAACCTACTGACACTTTAAAACCTTTTGGGTGAAATTCTTGGAAATTTCACTTTAACAGGGGGGGGGGGGGTATGGCCGAATGGTTAGCACTTGCGCACTGTATCATGAGGTCTGTCATTGAGTCAACTGTCTTTTTCCTCGAAACAAGGGTGTGGGGGGGGGTGTACCCGATCGGTTAACACGTGCGCATTGCATCATAAGCACTTGTCATTGAGTAAAGTGACAATTCCTGGCTTGAACATGACAAGGTGTTGGGGGGGTCTTCCGGTATCCTCCCACTGCTAAAGTCCCTTGAAATATTGAAATAAAATTGAACAGTGCCTACAGAAATTTTATTGAGAGAGAGAGAGAGAGAGAGTGGGAGGGAGGAAAGGGACAGGTGAGAGAGAGAGAGAGAGAGAGAGGAGGGAGGGTTTATGGTCTACTAGACACAAACTTGCAGTCAGGGTCTTTAGTAGTGGGTGGAAACTAGAGGTCCCAGAGAAAACCAATGAGGTTAGACATGCAACCTTACTCATTGTCATGTATAAGCTGGGAATCGAAACCTTACGATTTAAAGCGAACATGTTAAACCATTCAGCAATCCAACCCGTCACCCCCACCCCAGCCGCAAATTAGGACGGCCTCTTGTAATAGTTAGTTGGAAGTATATTGTCCATGCAAAGCAAATTCTGCCGATGTCATCAAAATATTTCCTCATTTGCATTTTCTTTGATAAACGAATATGGAATCTGTGAATGAGCCATGGGGAATTCCCCATGACCATGTCAGTAGAAACTAGGAAGTATATGTCAACTTAAAGCAAATTCTGCCGATGTCATCAAATATTGCCTCAATTGTATTTTCTTTAATAAACGAACATGGAATCTGTGAATGAGCCAAGGGGAATTCCCCATGACCATGTCAGTAGAAACTAGGAAGTAAACGTCAACGTAAAGCACATACTGCCCAAGTCATCTTTAACGCAGTTTATAAATGAGCCATGGGGAATTCCCATGACCAAGTCTGTAGGAACTATGAAGTAAACGTCAACGTAAAGCACATACTGCCCAAGTCATCTTTAACACAGTTTATAAATGAGCCATGGGGAATTCCCCATGAAAAAGTCAGTAGTAACTCGGAAGTAAACATCAACGTAAAGCACATACTACCTAAGTCATCTTTAACACAGTTTACAAATGACGGAAAACATTATCTACAGAAATTTTATATGAACAAATCATGTAATAATATTACTAACATTTCTGACTGGACAATCAAGCAGAGGCTTCAAATATAACCAATTAGGACAGTTAATTATGTCTGCTGTATCTATTGCCAAAGATGGCTTCGGCAATTTTTGTTTTAGTTCGAGACAGATTAAGAGAACAGACAGCAATATGCAACACTCTAATTGTCCCCAGATACACAAATAGACTGGCCTCCAGCCTATATCAATACTAGATATCGTATCATGATACTTTACTAATCTGATTGTGTTTTTTCTCTTTTTTATTTTTTTTTTCAGTACATGCATTAGTGAAATGAAATGAAATGGGTTTTAATTAACATCCTACTGTTGTGCTCCGACTGGGTTAATGAAGACTGGCATACAACACACAATGCTCCGACTGGGTTAATGAAGACTGGCATACAACACACAATGCTCCGACTGGGTTAATGAAGACTGGCATACACCAGTGTGCTATGAGGTATATTTTGTCCAGACAACAATGCTACAGCCTGCCAAGGGATCTTTTACATGCATCACTAACTGCAAACTTTCTAAATGACATACTGTTCCCTTAAACAGGCATTATGGGAGATTAGATAAAGAGTTGACAGTTCTCACTATAATAGTTAAAAAGTAGATAATGAAAATAGAATATACTGAAAATTGCCATTTCAATTATCCATTTTTACGTCTAATTATTTTTCAAAAAATGTATTCCAATCCGCTAAATATCGCAGCGAGAGTTGATTATGGTCTGAATAGATTAATTAATATCTGACAAGGGGGAACCATGCTGGAAAATCTGGATGGACTTTCTCGGCCAATGCAGGGATCGAACACCTGACCTCCGGGCTAGTGATCCGGCGTCTTACCCACTTAGCCACCGTGGCTCCTGATATGATGTTAAGACTGTTGGAAAACATTATCTTAAGAGCTGTGGGTCTAGATCAAAAGAGAAAAAGACAATACTGAAAGTGTGGTGATCGTTTATATAGAGCGTGGTCACGTGTTTATACACACTGATTCGGTGAGCTATTTTTAGCCTTTAAAGTTTGAGCGAGTGTGCATGGTTTGAGAGAATAATGAGAAATATGCAATATAAATCCTCGAGCCCTCAGCCCTGTAGCCTTCCGCTTTGTATTTCAAATTTGACCAGAACGAAAATAAACAGAGGATATAAATTTGTTTCTTTTAAATACGACTTAACACAAGATTGTCAACTCTTTTAGACAGCAACACTTAGAATTGGTCAATAATTGGGGATCTCCAATTTGACCGGAACAATAATAAAGAGAATATATGGATTTGTTCTACACACAAGATTGTCAACTCTTTCACAAAGCAACATTGGGTTTTGGTCAATAATTAGGGATCTCCACCAATTAATTAGTTAGTGAAGTTTACTGAATGTTCCGAGGTTCTTTTCAACCATCTGGTCAGCAAATAAACAAAATAAACAATGATTTCTGATAACCCTGAGGTTCTTCTCTTGTGAGGTGGGGAGGGAGAGGCGAATGGTCAATGTGTGCGCTCTGCATCATAAGGTCTGTCGTCATTGGATGTGAGTAGGGTCACCTGTCCAACCTCATGGGTTTTCTCCGGGTCCTCCAGTTTCCTCCCACTGCTAAAGACCCCTTCATGCAAGTGAATTATTTAAATAAAGTTGAACCATATGTTAGTCCTGAAATGACCTAGTTTATGTCAAGTGGATGTCAAAACCCCTCTCTCTCTCTCTCTCTCTCTCTCTCTCTCTCTGGTCAGTTGTGTTGGACAGAGGACCTGGCATGGAATAGCCTCGGATCAGATCGATCTTATATACCAGGGTCTCATGTAAAAATTGGCATGTACATAAACCATAGTGACACTGTCTGGGCAAAATTTCTCTCCTAGCACACTACATGCGCATCCCTAAATAATTTTTGTGATTCATGGAAGCAAATCGGATTAACCTTTCTATATGCAATTCAGTCCATCAAATGAGACAAAAAACATTGGCATATACGTAAAAGAGACCTTTACTGTTGGAATTCGAAAAAAGAGTAGGCCATAGTGGCAAAATTTCCCTCATAGCAGATTACATGATGCATCCCCTTTTTCATTAGCCCGGACGGCGCAGAAAAGTACGGTGTTAAACCCAATTTCATTTCATTTCATTTTTTTCATTAAAAAGTCTGAAACACCTCTTTAAAAGACAGAAGGAAAAAAACCAACTCTACAAAGTAAAATCCATTCAATTATAATTCAAGCATTCAGTTTATAAAAAATCCATTTAATTATAATTCAAGCTTTCAGTTTATAAAAAAAAAAATCTAATATCAGCTGAAACAGGCAGGAAAGTGACATTTAGACATGTGATTTGTTTGCACTGGGCAATCCATCAACTTGGGCGCTGAACCTGTGCTCCTTAAATAGCTTCATTTCGTCTCCACACCAGAATATCATTAGCCTTCGTCTCCTGATTACCGTTTTGACAAGAAAAAGCGACATGAATTATGGTCGGATCATGATCAGCCGACCAGCAAAACACACAGCAAAACAGAGAGAGAGAGAGAGAGAGAGAGAGAGAGAGAGAGCCGTGAAAGATTCTACAAGTCAAACAGTGTCACTATAGCAGACATGACCATATCAAAAATAACACAGACAATTGAATTAAAACGAATGATCAATTTGTTTTCAGTTATAAATAAAACAAAATGTCTATTCTTGTTCTTAAGAAAAGAGACAATTTGTTATTGTTGTGATAAAAATATCTTATGACAGATTAAAAACAGGAATTGAAAACAGAATTGAACAATAAAGATGTTAATAATATAAATAAAACGATAATTCTATTCTTGTTGATAAGAAAATTGACAATATTATGATATTTTAAGATCTTCTAGACAAAATAAAAATCAGAATTAAAAGCTGAATGGAACAATTGAAAGTGTTGATATTAAAAATATAACTAACATCCGAATAAATATCTTTAGACAGATAAAAACAGGAACTGAAAACAGAATTGAACAATTAAAGATGTTGATAATATCAATAAAACGATAATTCTATTCTTGTTGATGAAAAAATTGACAATATTATGATATTTTAATATCTTCTAGACAAATAAAAATCAGAATTAAAAGCTGAATTGAACAGATGTTGATATAGAACATATATAACAACATTTCTATTCTCGTTAATGAGAAAAACAGAAATTTTTATGGCGGTGTTAGTTAGACCCCCTATCTTTGATTTACTAATTTTGCTCATTTATG